TGGCTAACTCTGACTACAAATGATGTGTTGAAAGCAGATAAGGTAAGCAGTTATTTCGCTCCACAGGAAACTTAATGACTTTTTAAAGGCAGACTTCTTCCTGCTACCCTCAAACAAAAAGTCAGTACCTTTCGCATGGTATGCTGACAGACGAGTCATCCCCCCCCCCCCCCCCAACCCCCAAGTATAAGTGAACTCGGTTTTGGATGCCATCTGAAAGCCTCGGAAAGGGAAGTATGGGTTTGGCATGTGCGATTAGACAATATCAGGCAGGAGTGAAAAATCATTCTCATAGAGTGCTGCTCTACACCTAAAGTCGGCAATGCTAAGACACTGTTTTCAGGATCTGCAGACGGGACTGGCACGTAATCCCCGGTCCGTGCCGACGGCCCACGCTACCAGCGCCTGCAGACGGGACTGGCACGTTATCCCGGTCCATGCCGATGGCCGACGTTACCAACGTCTGCAGACGGGACTGGCACGTTATCCCCGGTCCGTGCCGATGGCCGACGTTACCAACGTCTGCAGACGGGACTGGCACGTTATCCCCGGTCCGTGCCGATGGCCGACGTTACCAACGTCTGCAGACGGGACTGGCACGTTATCCCCGGCCCGTGCTGATGGCCGACGTTACCAACGTCTGCAGACGGAAACTGGCACGTTATCCCGGTCCGTGCCGATGGCCACCGCTCCGTCCGGCGCTCGGTGTTTTGCGCGCTGCGCGCAAACCTGAAAATCACTTTCACCCTATCACATTGTGTAACCAAAACACGAACTTGGAGCAGACGTGGTTAGCGCTGCGCGCTGCAGCCAGCCGAGACGGGTTTGAAGTCGGGAGCGCCGCCCGGCCGTGCTGCAGGGACCCGCCAGACACCGGCCGGCTCAGGAGCCGGGACCGGGTCGAGCCGGTGTCCGACCCACCGCACGGGACGCCAAGCCTGCGGCCTGCCGCCTCCGTGACCCGTTCGGCCGCGTCTCGTGACACGTGATAGAGCTGTGAATTGCAGCGGAGCTCTCGCTCAGCCGCCACGGAGAAGCGGTGTCGAAAGGAAACAGGGCGCACGTTGCACACTCACGTACGTTGTGTAAGGTACAATTCTATTGTAGTAAAGTTGTGTTATGCTTCCGGCATTCTTTGAAAACCTGTATTTGACAAGGCTTTTCATCCTTTATCTTTTGTCTTGCAGCACAATGCCTCAATAGGTAAGCATTCGTATTAGTCTCGTGCTGGTCTTATCACCAACACACAAAGCTGCAGATTGGAGCAGAAGTCTCGCCAAGCACAGGTGTTTGATTGACCCGATATATTTCTTTATGAAATGCGCGTAAAGTATTTCAATTGATGTATATATTTATAAAATGTATGCATGTTTGCTAAATATATTGTTAGTACGTCCTGACTGGTGAATAGATGAAATTCCCTAGATTCCCAAAACGGGAAACTTAGACAAAACTTAGAAACTTAGAAAGCTCTGGGTTCCGACAACTTCGGATGGGTCCTCCTTGCTCGTCAGGGGACTGACCGACTCACAAGCGCGGTCCACGTGTTGAGCTCTTGACCGTTCCTGTGGACAGCAGCTGGAGGTGCGCCACCTCTGCAACAGGGCGATTGGCTGGTAAGCACTTGTGACTTCTATCGTTGTTATGTGCCGACGCAAACGGGCGAATCAATCAGAACTGGCGTAAATTTTAATGAGCCCTCTACTGAACCGCTCGGGGTTGTGGAAGAACATGAACGGATCCTCTTGCCTGGCCTGTGCTTGGCTGGCCATCAGCACACCAACAGCAGAAGCTTTCTTATTAAGGCCTAAAACTTTTCCACCGACTTCGCAGCTATGATGTTGACGTCAGGCCAGGTGACACTCAACACATGGGAGGTCAGTCGGTACCGCAGCCTGAGGTCAGGAGGTCAGTCGGGGCCGCAGCTCCTGGTGTCACGTGACGTTAAAATACATGCTGCCATCGTCACGTGATGTCCCAACACAATGACTGCGTAACGTGACGTCACGACACACTGACAGCGTCACGTGACGTCATGATGCATTCTACTATCGTTACGTGACGTCACGGTACGAAATGTTAGCGTGACGTGACGCACAAACCCCAGATCTGTGCCTGATAGGGTTGGATCCAACTTGCATTCAGGTGTGGGATGCACTTTTATTTATTTTACCATATGAGGTCAGACAGTATTTTGAACCCAAAGCAACCGCCACCCTTCATTTATCTGATATCGTCGACAGCCAAAACCAATCAAGCCCCTATCTTTTGAGGTATAAGTTCTTACTTTGGTAATCATCGACCTTCAGTATGCCATGTGGCGCTGATTGAACGACACTGTCAATAAAATATCGGCTATATTTGCAAATCTCAGTGATTCGGGCTGTTCCCAGCTTCAGCCTGAGACGTCGAAGCTTGCCGTTATAGCCAAACTGTTCCAACCTTCAGTTCGAAACGAGTTTCGTCTACATAGTCCATGCTTGCTTGACAAGGTTATTTAATCAGCGCATCCCGGTGTGTTGAAGGCGGATGGTTGTCAGATTACTCCCGACTCCTAATGTTGAAATACCGGGAGCTCATGGCCTTGGTGGCTTGCATCATATCCCATCTTGCATTAACCATGAACTAGCCGTGGTTGCATCATGCGATTGATATACACACATGCTATATAAGCGTCCCTCAGTGATGTCATTCATACGGAGGAATGTGTTTGTTTGGCTTTTACTTTGATGGCTAACTTTACTTTAATATTATCGGATCGCGTTCCCCCACGGCGGAAGCTGCGAAGTCGACCTTGCCTTGCCCTACCGGCTTTCTGTAGTTTTAGGGCGCGTCAGCGGCGAATGGTCATACAGCCCCTACCACCTATCATACCTGATAACACCTGAGCCCGTAGCCAATGACGTATTGTCTTTTCCAGCTAGGCTGTTCTGAAAAGTCTACTAAACGGCGTGAGGTGCCCTGCGAAAACTCAACAATGACTTAGCTGAGAGTCACGAACTGAACGCCAGCGGCGCTTGCCGCGAGTTTCTTACGCGTACCGAAACATACAGCTCAACGTATCGTGTGTGCGTTCCATGAATTGCGGTTCTGCGAACTCGATGAAACCGATTTCTGACGGCGACCCTAATACCCTGCATGAGTCTCGAGGTAGTGACGCAGCCTTGACGGCCGGTGCTACGGCGCCTAGGCACCTGTAGCGCGCCGGCGCACCGCGCGGCACACCCACGCAGCGGCTGGGCAACGCTCGGTCCGCACCTGCTGGGCCGTCGCGCAGCAGCCCAGCCACCAGCACCGGGTCCATTGAGAACGGTTCCTCATTACGGCGGGACGCCGGCTGGGCCGCCGGGGTGCCGGCACGGACGGCGGGGAGGGGAGCGTCCTGTTTAACCTTGGCACGCCGTCCGACTGCCTGAAAATACGCGACCGGCAGCGGCGGCGGCGGCAGCGGCGGCAGCGGCAGCGGCAGCGGCAGCGGCGGCGGCGGCGGCGGCGTGCCAGGGGCCTAGCCGCACCGCCGTGGCAGCTCCCGGCCCGAGCACACCAGCAGCGACGCGGGCTTGGCGCGGCGACGTGGTGTCAGCGTCGGCACCGCCGAGCCAGCGCCGTGACTCACGCGGCGGCCGGACACTTTCGGCCCCCATTTTTCTCCGGAGAGGATATCGGGCTCATGCCCGGACCGGTTGCTGCAGCGCTGGCTTGCAGCGGCCGGCGGCGCGGCAGATGCGGCTCTTAAAAGGGAAACCAGCGCGACGACCGCGACTTAGCCTATCTTCTGATCGGCCGGCAAGCGTACAGGACGCCAGGAGGACCGGCCGTGCGCGAGCGCCGCCGCGCACCGCCCGGGCGAGCCCGCCAGTGGCGTGTCGCGCCGCCCGGCAGCACACTTCCGCGAGCAGGCCGAGCCGCGGCCGCGCTGGCCGTGCGCAGTCGGGGGCGCCCTCCCCCTCCCCCAGGGATCACTGGTCGGTGGGCAGCGGGAGCTGATGCAACACGGAGTGACGCGAAACAACACTGCTCGGCACCGGATGAGGGGTACGGCCACGCGCCGTCCGACCGGCGACAAGCGTAGCGTGGAGGCGTAGGCCGGGGTCTCCCCTCCGCCCCCTCCCCGCCGCCACACTGTCTGCGGCGGGTGACGCGGCGCCGGCGGTTCGCGTGGGATCCGCCCACGCCCCCCCCCCCCCCCCCCCGGTCAGGCGCTTCCCGAAGCCTGGCCATGAGTGCGCAGCTCTTCAGCGAACGCCGCCGGCCGCGCGACGCTCGGGGGGGCCATTTCTAGCGCGGCGTCCGCTGACGTCACGGCGATGACGACAGCGGTCACGTGACCCGCGCCGCGCGATCATGGCGGCCGGCCGGACCGCGAGCGTCCGCCGCCGTCACGCGCGGCGGGGGCCTCTCCGGCGGGGGTCACGGTGGCCGCGTCTCCGGGGCCGCGCCTAGTCGGGCCGTTTTTGTGCGGCTGTACGGGAGGCCCGGCAGGAGAGGCGTGCCGGTAGCCGGTAGCCAGCGGCGGCGGCGGGGCGGCGCCTCTCAGGGCCGCTCCTTCCCCCAGCGGCCGCCGGCCTGCGCGGCGACCTCGCTCGTCGCCTTCCGCTTCCCGCTTCGGCTGTTGCTCAACCGCGGCCGCCGCCGCTGCAGCAGGGGCGCCGCCGCCCATGCCGGCGGTCTCTCGCTCCGCACGGCTCTGCTCTGCTACCCCCGCTGTAGCTGGCGTGTGCCTGTGCTGCGCCGGCCTGATCCGTTGCAGCACTGTATTTGTCCTGTTGCGAAGCCGAGGGAGCTCGTCGTTGCGGTTCAAAATGTTTCACGCTGCTGCTATGCATGTCTGATGCATGGCTTCCGGCAGTGGGGAACCCCTCGGTTCCCGCGGCAGTTCAGGGTCGTGGACCAGCCGCAGTGTCGCCGGCTCCCACCGACCACTTTTAGTGGTGTTTAACGAGAAGAATACATTCTCAGTCGTGACGCACCGCTCGTGGCTGCGAGCAACACTTGTCCAGTTCATCGAACACTCGTGTATTTGCCGAACACATCACCATGCGTCATACGATCGACGGCACGGACGCCGGCTGGCGCCCGCGGCCGCCCACCAACAGCCGGAAAGGTCAAACGTCAAAATAAAATTCCTGGGCGAACCCGCGAGTGTCACGCCGGGTCCGGTGGTGCAGCTGTGCTGCGAACGTCAGTGTTAACATTCAAACGGAAATAAACGAGAGCCCAACGAGGCGTACGGTTAGTAGGGGTCTCAGCCGTGTCCGCTGGTAAAACCGACTCGGCCTGCCCGACGTCAGTGGTGCTCTGTCGGTGCGCGCAGCCAACAGGCCCCGGCCTCAAAACAGGCCCCGGCGCCTCCAGCACCGTCGCGCGCCCGCTCCGCTAGGTGTATTACAAATTACAAAATCAGGACGACTTGATAAATAATGATACATCTATAATGTAACTAAACTGATGCTCGATACAAATAAATAAGTGTGACATAAATATAAGCATTACGATATATGGATGAATGACATTGGAGCAGTCCCGGCTGGCCGAAGACAGGGCGAATGAATATGTTAATACCCCCAGAGAGGCTGGCTGGTCTGGTCACACGCGCCACTAATCACGAACGCGTCGGGCCGCCCGACACTAGTAGGCACTACTGAAGCTACCCAAATTTTCTGTTAAAAATAAACCAAATAACTACTCTCTATGAGGATAAACGTCTACTCGTGCCAGCCACGGCACTTCACAGCTATTTAAAGTGCAACCGCGTCCCGCCGTACGAATGTCGCCGAACGGGGTCCATCACATGCGTATTCCGGTGACGTCACAGCGCCGGCGTGGCTCGATCCGCTCGCTCCCTCTTGGTCCCGTGAGTAAGGCACAATGTTGGGCGCCGGGGCCGGGGTGGCGGCGCCGGCCGCCGGGCAGGCGCCGGCCAGGTCAGGTCGGCCGCAGCCTCTCCCGGCGCGCCGCGCCGCCGCCGCCCGCGGTCCGCTCTTCGGCCCGGCTATCACAGCGCGAACGCGTCCTCCCTGCGCATGCGCGAGAAGACGGGCAGCCGCAGGTTGCGCGGCTGGTCCAGCGGTGAGCAGCTGGGCGGACTTCCGCTAGCGCTGCCGGCCGACGACAGGCTCATCGTCTCCAGGTCGGAGGCCAGCGAGTCGGTGGGGCTGGGGCTGGACGGCAGCGCCAGCAGCAGTCCCAGTTCGCGCTGCGTCGGGAACTGGAACACGGCGAACGGCTGCGGCACCGGGCTCGGCGTCAGCACCGACTTGTACGCCTCGTCCGGGAAGAGCATCGAGGTGGGCGAGCTGGAGCCAGACATGGAGCCGGGCGAGGGCGACTCGCCGGCCGAGCTCAGCGCGGCGCGCGGCCGCCGCTGCTCGTCCGTGTTGTGGACGAAGTGGCAGCGCGCGCCGTACGGACAGTAGCCGGTCGTGTGGAACGTCCGGCACAGGTCCGTCTTGTACTTGGGGTGGCGCGACATGTTGCGCAGCTCGTGCGCTCCGTGCGCGAACTGGCACTTCTCGCCATACTTGCACTGGCCGCTCTCCTCGAACGGCCGGCACAGCTCCGTCTTGTAGCGGCTCGAGTTCTGCGGCGGCAGCTTGCGCTCTGCCACCGGCTCGCTGTGGCTGCGGTCGAGGCGGCGGTGGAGCGCGCCGGCGGCCGGCGGCGGCAGCGAGACGGCGGGGCTGAGTGGGCTCTCCAGGCTGACGTCGGCCGCGCTAGACGACTGGCGGCCGAGGCCGGCCAGACCGCCCAGCGTCGGCTGTCCGCTGGGGCGTCGCGATGCGCTCGGGTGCACGAAGGGGAAGCCGGGGGCCGGCGGCTGCGGCTTGGACGTGCTGTCCAGCCCTGAGCCGCCGAAGTAGGTGGGCGAGGGGGGCATCATCTGCAACAGAGGCGACAGCAGCGTCAGCGACGGCGGCAGAGGAGTGCAGGGTCACACAAGCACAGCCGGAGGGCGCGGCAGCATTGCGGCGCCGCGGCCTCGTCCCGGCCGGGGAAAGGCGGCGAGGAGTGACGCTGTGCCGACCCGGACGGCGGCGCGCGACATTTCGGCGGCGCCAAGCTGGTGTCATTCGCCACTCACACGCCGACTGCCATTTAGAGTGACCGATCCGGCAAAACTCCAACCAGCGCCCAAAAGCGGCCCAGCTTGACTCCGGCTGGGATGCGTGATCAAAATGAAAAGCATCTTCTGGTTTCAGGGGACACGGGTGAAACAGGACATAGCTGGACACAACCAACAAACAAAATAAACATTTGAAGATCAGTTATAATAACAATCCACACTAGAGCACACTTTCCGCATGCATTAACATGGGAAATTACGCTTAGTGATACATCTCAGGGACACGTTTTCCGCGGCTTCGTACCGAACCGGAATCCACATTAGGCCCGTAGATAATTAAGTGGAGGTACACATTTTAAAAACATGGTTGCCTCCCCGCCTCAGATTTTGTCTTCTTGCCCCCCCCCCCCCATGCCCTTCGAAATCAATTGACTGACATGCCTCTACAGCTGTTCAGGCCTTGTGACATTCATTGCAATTGAAACGTCAGAAAGCGGGCATCACTATTTCTGAGGTCGTTGAAAACATGATCATAAGGCAAGGATTAAATGGAACGAACGCTCTCTACAAAAAAAAAACAAACTGCCAAACAAAGAGCCATACAAGGCCACTAGTCTTAAAGTCTGTCGTAACAACTGAACACGAAAGTTTCTAAGTCGATCTGTCCAAGAGATGTGCAAGAGTGGTGCAATCCAGCTCGTAGTCCTGCTCGTGACAAACAGCTTACGCCAGAGGACGGACCTCACGTAACCAACGACCTGTTACGCGCCCAGCGCCGATGCCTTTGAAACTTCTGTAGCCCATACGGTACGGGAACTGGCGGTGAGGCGCCCCGCCGACTCACGGGCCGCTCCGTCGGCCGAGCGCCTCGCCGCGGGCCGGCGCCACCGGAGCGCTCGGCTCGTCCTGCGGCCGCCGGGCCGCCAGCAACCACAGGCGCACTGGGACAGAGCACCGGAGGTGGCAGAGCGTCGGAGAGGGCATGGCGCTGAAGAGGACAGAGCGCCGGAGAGGGCAGAGCGTCGAGAGGGCGAAGCACCGGAGGGGGCAGAACGCCAGGGATAAGCGCCGGAGGGCGGTAGGGCGCCAGGAGGGGGCAAAGCGCCGGGGAAGATAGAGCGCTGGAAAGGGCAGAGCGTCGAAGGGGGCGGAGCACCGGAGCGACAGAGCGCCGAAGGGAGCAGAGCGTCGGAGAGGGTAGAGCGCCGGAGAGGACAGAGCGCGGAAGCCATCTTCAGCGGCGTGGCAGCGCCCGGCTAGCCTTGAATTTAAAATAGCTGATTTGCCGGCACGTCGGCGCCGGCGCGGTCTCGGCGACCGCCGGTGCAGCCACTGTCGGGATGGCCCGTCACGACTCTTCTAAGCCCAGGTTTCTCCGCGGTGAGTGCCACGCTCAGGAAACGAAAATGAGCGTCGCGCCAGACCGTGGCGCAGCGCATTTTCACTTTTCAATTCCGATGGAGCCCCGGCGACGTCCAGATTATCACATGAATGTACAGAGGCTCCCCGGCCTTTGATCGACGACGCACGAGAGGGACAATCAAAGTTGGAGCCAATTTCAGCCGCAATTGTCCCCCGGGGTGTGGTTCTCACAGCAGGGGTGGGACCATATACCCATTTAAGACTGAGCCACTAGCAACATTAAACGCGATTGAAAATTGTTTGAGGATCGATTGATCGAGGAGCAAATAGCGGCACGGAGATAGCAAGCTTATCGCAGACCGAGAGCAGTCACCGCTAAAATGCACACATCAGCCCGCGGCCAACCCAAGTTCAGAGTAAAGTCCTTGGCAAGTGTACGATACCCATTTCTTCTGCCGACAGCAAACCGCGTGATAACATATCGCTAGTGCACACGGTGATGACGGTTAGGAGCAGCGTCAAACCCCGCCCCGTCTCAAGCAGTGCAAAATGTCTGCGCTGAACGTCCCGGCCAGGGCCCTGCGGCACAGAGGCTGACGTAGACGACGGCTTAGCCTCGATGAGCGAGTGAAGAACGCGGCGGCTCGAGACGCAAGTAATACGTGGGTTCGATTCCCACGAGCGACATTCCGATTTTCAAAAGAGGGAGAACTTTGCAGTGACGTGGCTCATGACTTAGCAGTGACATGGCTCCACATAATGGGTTAATCGCCAACATTACTTAGTTAACAGTCTCGGGCAAAATTAATGGGGCGGGGGGGGGAGAGGGAGATGCAAATACGCAGCACCGTCATGAAAGTGGCGCCTAACCTCGAGATATAAATCACTTATATCACAGGCGCTTCTTTCTATACGTGATGGGAATAAACCTGAAATTTTGCAACTGGATGCCATTACCCACGGGTTCCTACGCTTTTGAGGTAGGTCATTGACGACGACACTTGCAATGGCTATACAGAGCACAGAAAACAGGCGTCCAGAGCACGTCCAATCGGACAGAGCGCTTCACCAGCGTAAAGTTTAGCAGCTACCAGAAGTTCACTATCGCTATCTGCTACAGCAAACAACTGCATGTTACACCTCGCGTGGTTGCAGCAGATAGCGGTCTCCATTCGGGCTTTCGGTCACGAGCGCTTGCCACCGAGCGCTTTCTCTGCAAAACGTCAATGGCGACGATTTTGACTCGCCTTTCAAGTATTGCGCAATAAGAATGCGACCTATTGAGTCGGGATTTCGTTCGAACGGCGCGCTTCACAACGGGCAGCATTCACCTGTCCGCCCAAATTTCTCCCCAACCGGCGGCTGTGTCGCGATTCGTTGGGGACCAGCCACACTTCCGGCGACATTGGCAAGGGACCAGCCACACTCCCGGCGGCATTGGCAAGGGGCCAGCCACACCCCCGGCGACACTGGCAAGGGACCAGCCACAGGACCAGCCACACTCCAGGCGACATTGGCCACGGAACACTCCATCCACTAGCAAACGCAGCCCAGCTGAACATACGATGCAGTACATACATACATAGCGTTTTCCCGAGAAGGGCACTGCGCCTCACGGCTCTAACGCGGCGAACAGCGCGAAAAGCTGCCATGAGCGTTGCACGCGCCGGTGGACAGTTTTGCCCGGCTGACTAGCACATTAAAGTTCATGGTACTCGGAAACTATTTTGGGGCAGGAACAACAGCGTGACGTCAGACTCTCACGCTTAATGTAACTGGGCACCGTGAAACAACTGACAAGCAGTATCGAGCCACCAAGGGACGAGCCCCGAACGCAACGAATGGTCCATGGGCTCTGCCGCGCAATTGAAAAGCAAACTATTCTTGGCCGCACATGGCACTGCGTCATTGCCAGCAAAGCAAATGCCACGGAACACTCCATCCACTAGCAAACGCAGCCCAGCTGAACGTACGATGCAGCTATCGTACGAGTTCCCCAGCAACTAATACCCCATTAGCCTTCGGCAGTAGGAGACGTGCATTCTACCATGCCTTTGAATAGCTAAAGAGATCCCAGCGCGAGCTTCTGGGCTTTACCGGGTACCTTAGCATTAACATTTCCGCGACACAATCTTGGTGCAAGCACCTTAATCTTGGGTTAAAATGGCCGCAACCGTGCGAACTGGTGTAGTTGTTTTCATTAACTGTTGTGCCGTGCCTTCATGCAGCATCGCAGGAGCCCATTAAAGGACCTTTCGGCTCCTGCTCATCCAAAACCAATAAAAACAGGTTTCAGTGCAAGGTAGAAAATCGTGTTTGTCCCAGTCGATCTTGTAAAATGCAGCTATTTCGCGCGTTTGATAATGTCTATATCCATGGCCCGATTTCTATGCAAACTGTAGACGCGACTTACCTTGTGCTTTCCAACGGAAGCATAGCCTGGCCGTGTGCTTCAGCAACGAAATGGGAACCAAACTCATCGTTGCTCTGTGTCAATGACCACAATACACCAAACAAATGAAGCAGGCTTTTCAGAAAAGTGTTCCGTAACTCCTAAGACACGGCAAGCAAAAAGCAAGCAGAACAGAACAGTGCAAAACAAAAGAGGGATGACATGCACTGATTGCCATACGAACTATTCCACCGGAATCCCAGCTTTTCGTTCGCGAATCAACGCAAAGCGCATGCGTGCCCTCCGGCCAGAGGACTGGTATCCAGTCAAACATGCCTCCCACCGCACAATGAGCGATCTAGAGACAACACTTAGATGGCCAAAAAAGAAGGCCAGACATGCACTCTGGAGCAGCAGTGGATGGCGACTTCGTTGTGCTGCACCCGTAAGTATGTGTGTGTCGTGCCGTCTCAACTTAGTCAACAGAGAAGTCTGCGATATTTCGGAATTCACATAATTGATCAGGGAGTGGTGTACCAAACTTACCCGCATTATCCATTCGAACTGGACTAATTCTTGACAATTATAAACGTTGGTACATATTACAGTAAACACCAATCGCGAAGAATGAATGGCGACCTGCGTCCCCTTGATGGGTAACTTTGCTGCCCGTAGACAACTTCCCAATAAAATGATCTATAGGCTAAAGCCAAGTTATTTCTCTCACACGGCTCGAACGATTTTCTCATGCACCAACATTCTGAACTAAACTCAACGTTAAATTTTAGAGTTGAGCGTGTTTAAGGGGTCGACGGATGGAAGTGTCTATGGGAGTCAATCATCAGGCGTTAAACTCCCAGCACATTCATTTCAAACAGAACATGAACAATACACCTCAGCGTCTTGGGCAAACCAAGTCTGCTGTGGTTAATGTGGCTGCCTTACGGATAGCAGTAGCGATATCATAAAACACCAACACAACAGCAACTGCTATCCTATAGCTCATCAGCCCGTGGCAGTTTACCTGTTTTCCACGGGACCAGGAGTACGGATATCCGCGTCAGCGGACGCTATCTTACTGTTCTTTGGTACTGGTATCACAGACACAGTGCAAAACACACCACCCCTCAGCACATCCGACCCGGCGCCTGTCGTCCGGAGTTGGTCCCACCTGGGCGACCTCTCACATCTAACTACACCGCGCGGAGGAGACGCGCGGCTGAAAGCGGCGAAGAAGTCACTGCCTCAAATCCAGGTCATAGAATGGCTATAGTGCGGACGAAATCTGGGATACCCGAGCCGGTTACCGCCACTTTCCAATCGGTTGCTGGCCAGGTTAGAGGGTGCCTGCACACGACGATCACGGCTATAAAGTTTCAGCTTACCCCCATAAGATCCAGATAGCTCCTGTATTCCTTGAAGGAGTCTTGTTGAAGCATTCCCAGGATCTCGGAATACATGGCAGCAGATAAATTGGTGCGAAATGCCACACTATATCGCTGAACCACGATTCTCGCCCCACCTCCCCCGAGCACCCAACGCAGACTGACGCCAAACACTCGTGACCGCCAGAAGATATTAGTGTCCTTTGCGTTTGCGGGCGGGGCGTAAGCCCCAGCAGCCAATCATAGGGCGCAAGAGCGATGACGTAGAGGGGGGTTCTGGCGCGCCGGCGGCCCTGGCGCGCCGTCTGGTGGCGTTTTGCGCTGATGTCGGTATTCGGTGTTTACCTATTACGAGGAAATCGGCGGGAAACGAGAAATGACGAGATGCAGGAGATCCAGTCATTCAATTGCAACAAAGCTCTCCATGGCGTTAAGGCAGCAACTAAGGTGTTTTTCACTTGCAACATAAAACGAGTGAGGCAAGATGTGCATGATGCTTAGGCAAAACAACAAATCGTCATGTCTTCGTACAAATGTGTGGGAAACTTGCAAAAAAAACGAAACACATCAACAAAGGGATGAACGCTTCACATTCACGAAAATGTCGGGACATATTTATTTGTACGTTGCTCGAGTAAGTGAGATTCGAACTGATCGACATTCTACTACTAAGAACTCCGAGCTCTTTGGAATAGTGTCTCTCCCCCCCCCCCCCCCGAAACCACACACTCAGAGCAATGCTATCCCAAAATTTCAAAACAGAAGTTGGGCAATGAGCCCTAGAAGCTATATGCCCCGCTCCAGAGCCCATTGCTTTTAGCAATGTCGCTGGCTGATACAAAAGGGATTGTATAGTCTTCAAACGGGAACAAGTACAGCCCGCAGGAGCAACAGCGAGGAAATTTCCCAGCATTTAAACACATTTGACCCCACTCACAAACTATTTCCCGTTCACTTGCACCTGTTGCTAAAGACAGGATTTTCAAGCACGGGAATTATGGCCGCATCCCATGGCTTCCTCGCCCCACGGTCTTTATCATTAACGCCTGAACGTCTCGCGCCCATTGTCAGCTGTCTCAGGCAGATTTCCAACATAAACCACTCTATTTCCGGTTTTCGTGACCGTGGAGAACATAACGGCCGTCTAAGGCTCCGATTGTCTCATTTATTTGATTAGTTATTTATGTACGCCATGACGCAGGTCCATGCATTGTAGCCTTTTTGAACCCCTAGTCAGGCAAAACATCACACGGCAGGTCAAAAGGTTGACACTCAAAAACAGGGCAAAGCATATACTTAGTCGTGCATGGTAACATAAAAGAAATATACAGCCGTGTAGTCAAAACTTTGCTGGCTTCTTACCATGTGGTTTCGTATCTCGGTCATAAAGCGTGTTCGGCCCAGTGCACGAATGGCTGGAGCAGGTCGCTGAATGCGGTTGCGACTGATTGCTGACACCTTCGCCTCCCAGACTCAGATCGTATCGAGGGAGTCGCAAGGCAATCAGGATGTCTAGTGGTACGGCGGTTTGGCGAATGTCACGTCTAGTAAAACGCTTGGGAGCGAGAGACTGGTTCTGATGTCAAAGGCTTAAGAAACGGCGGGACCGTGGTACAGGTATGTACATATTCTGGCTGAAAGTCACTCAAGCTCCCGCAAGACATCACTCATATGGTCGTTCTTCCTTCGTCTGAAAATTACTTCTGGCTGCAAGCTTTGTAAGCATCGGCAGTCGTGGCCTCTGGATTCAATGGCGTTTTTTCAGCAGTTCACACGATGTTTCGACCACACTGCCACATTTAAGGCCTCTTGGCCATCTTACATTATGATCGTCAGATGCCCTGGAGATATGGATCAAAAGCGAGCTCTTCACTGTTTCGAAACCCTCGAACTTGACATCACCCTTGCCTGTATGTTAGCGTCCTGTTGTTAATGGCGCATTGGTGAAATGGCGGGCCGTGTGGCAATGACTAGTACTGTCTACTGGTATATATATATATATATATATATATATATATATATATATATATATATATATATACATATATATAATATGATGGCCTGCTCCCGAACATCTTTAAAACCACGGTGGTGTTCCTGCCAAAAAAGCAGTGGTGGCTGGAGATCTTCTAGGAAGTTGGAAAGCTTGCGTATTTTCCTAAACCACGCTGTGGCAATAGACAACTTTTCAAAACAATGTAGCCTTTTTCTCACAGACGAGTGATGGATGAGGGACAGTTGGAATGCGCATGATATCGAAAAAAATAGGAGGGAAAAACGCCATAGCCGAACGGGCAGCGCCCAAGCTTAAATCATTTTTTCGAAAGTTGCCCTCAACGGAGCTGTGCGAGGGCCAATCCGCTCACACATGCACACACATGCACACATGCACACATGCACACATGCACACATGCACACATGCACACATGCACACATGCACACATGCACACATGCACACATGCACACATGCACACACACACCATGCACACACACACACACACACACACACAACACACACACACACACACACACACACACAAACACACACCCACAACACACACACACACACACCACAACGCGCGCCCGGGGAGACTTGGAAAGCCTTCAGAAAGGCGGGAGCCTAGCAAAAGGGAGCCCAAGCAATGAAAGAGGAAATGGATATTGCAGCCACTGTTTAGCCTGTCCTTTTGCCATTCTCGCCTCACCTTGAATCCTCCGAACGTTTCGTTTGTCCAGGGCAAGTTGCATGCATCAGGCATGACTGGCTAAGTTCCTGCAACCCCGGCAGAAGCCCCGTCAGAGCATGCGCACGTGCCCCGAAAAGGGATCCCTGTGCGGGTTAATTCTCCGAGAGGAGAGGAGAACTCGGAGAAGCATGCGTAGACGTATCCCAGCACTCTCCACTCCCCTTCATCTCACAGCCCTGAAATCCCAGCCCAATCCCAGCCCAGCCCATCTCCACCGCTGGTCGAAAGGACTCTAGGGCAAACGCAACCGAAGCTCATGCTTTTCCAATTCCAGACACAGTATGGATAAAGCATGTTTCACAGTGCATTTTGTTGCATTAAAAACAACGTAACCGCACAACTTGCCTCTCAAGCTTTGTCTTCGTCGGGATTACCAGCAGGTATCTGACGGGCGGTGTTGAAACTGGGGAATTTCAACGTCAAACCTCTCCGTGTAAAGCTGTTCGCGTGGTGAATAAATACCGGAAAGTGTAGGTGCTAGCCCAAATTTAATTTGATCGCCTGCTATCGGCACACGAATATTAGCGGGTCTGAACGTTCGGCCAAGTATTCAAAAGCCTCTGATCCATATTCAGATCCAGAATGTGCACCTCTTATTTCAGTTAGCTACCATCACTCATAATGTCTCTTCGTTAGTCCGTTATTTGTGTTTTGGTCTGCATCGATCTTGTGGTCATGTAACCACACTGCATTTCATGTACGGAACCTGCATCACATGTGCGTAACCTTACCATGACGTGTTTATCCCAAGTGCATGCCTCACTGTAGGTTAAAGACGATGACGAAGATGTTTTAAGGCTTCGGAAATTCAGCAAGGTTGTGTTTGTGGGAGGGGGAAGGAGGGAGGAGGGCAAAGCACTTTTCGTGCCTTCAGAATCGGATTGTGCTACGAAGAGAAGGCTAGTGCGTGAACTGGTGGCCATGTTCACACAACATAGTGGTAGTTAAATGTCATTGTTGTATGTCGAGTCAACGGTCACATTTCGGTGCATCACATTAAAGCGCGTCAAAAACTACTCCCCTCTCCGTTTCTCAACTGTACTCCAGTCAGTTCATCTCACCACGAAACCAAGTCACACTGGGTCATTTAGGGGGCCATGTAGGGTCGGCGTACAACTAATCGGAATGAAACGACCTGTGCCGCCAATTTGTGGCAAACGAGTCAGCAAAACGAGTGTATTTTCTTAACTACCGACTGCTGGCCAGATCATCATGCTATCTTGGGTACAGTGGCCTGCAAAAGTAAGAAAGAGAAAGCTGTCCTGATCTTCATGTTTGAGGCTTGCAGAGAGAGTGGTGTGATTTTGATGCCGAAGAACACGCTCTTTTATTTGCTGAAGTTGCAAAACTTTGAGGTCATCAGCAGTGGAGCTTTAGGGTCCGAAGTAGAGACGCCGCAACCAGTCAACCCACCATCTGACCCTTAACAACGCACGCGTTTTTTAGCCGGGCTGTGCGCCGGGCTTGACGAGCTTTTACCGGTAAAAATAATTAACACAAAAGTCATGCATTTTTGCTATGACTTATGTTTTAAAACCATCCAGACATTTTGATGGTTGCAGCAAGAGCTTTTGTCACACACAACTCATGGCAGACAAGACACACCCGTAAACTAGATTGTGCAAACTGAACAGCCTAAGAAAACATCTCACAAAAAAAGCTCACGAATAACAACTCAATTTTTCAAGCTTGGCCTTATTTCATTTCATAGCAATGTTGGTCATTTACATAAAAAAACGCCATTTCCTGCGCTTGGCTGCTAATGTGAGGGTGAAGCGTACACATATCTCATCAATGTTTATGATTAAAGAAATGAAAGAGAAGCCATGCGCCCGTTGTTGCCGTAGCCTCGCTTACTTGTTGCTCACTTGCCCACCCGTAACTTGCTCGCTCGCTTACTCACGGCCCGCAGTGACTGGTGTATCAATTGCGCAATAATTGTTGGAACAGAAAGCGGCTATTTTGGTGTTACCCATTTTAAATTACACCTCTCCCTTCTCATCTGGAGTTGGACACTGGCCTTACAGTGCTAAATATTTAATTTGATGCGGGGAAAATTCCATAGTCCAGGTCACTTCTATCTTGAAATCAGGTTGAAAGGCCATGCCAGGTGATTCCATAATGAGGGCTCATCTCTGCTCTAAAATCAATATCACTGGTGTAAGCTAAACAAGGCTGTGCGTCAGATGCCACTGATATAACACCTATTCACACTTGGTGTGTATGTCTAAAATTAGGGAGACATGGCAGAGTGTAGATTGCAGTGAACTTAGTGCTTGTGTGTTCATGCCGGGTCAGCATTGTAGCACGGCGGGCGTTTGCGGGCTGGATCCCTAGCTGGCCGGGCCGGGCCGGGCTGCAGGCTGATGTGAACAAAGTAGTGTCTAGTTCAAAGTTGTGAGGTAAATCCGGGAACTTTAAAGTATTTCACGG